CCCCAAAACCCCAAAACCCCAAAACCCCAAAACCCCAAAACCCCAGAATAAGAGTAAAGCTGGAATAGGTAAAAAATATATAATTTTATAACTTAAAAATGGTTCGAATTTTGAGAAAGTCAGCTGATTATTTCCTCAATAGCCTGAGAGGACTTGATATGTGAGTTTCGATGATTTGGATGGGGTATTGGGGGCTTTGGTGCCAGGATATTTTAGTTGCTGTTTTCTCTGATTTAATAGAAGATTTGAAGATCTGATTTCTGCTTTTTAGGTATCCAAAGACTATAAAGTTTACTTATAAAGGACAAGAGTAAGTGGAGGGTATTATCTTTAGAGAGTACAAAACACTTCTTGGAGGAGTAAATATATTTATCATCTTTAGTTGGTTTCCTTGGCGATAAATGTTGTAATTTTGATTTACGCTTGGATGTTGTTCACTATCATGGTTTGTAAGCTACCAGGCAATATTTATAGCAAACAAGAATAGTTCAAAAAGCATCAATACTTCGGTAAAGAGTAGGAAAATTGTCTTTATTAATTTGATATTACAGTTTCAAAATTCGTATTTTTCTGTCAATTCGAATTATTTTGCTTTGAAAATAAATGGAATTGAGCAAAGCAAGCATACTAAGACAAATTTTTAATAACTAACTGCTATAGATCTCAGAGAGGATACTGAAACAATAGACCTCAAGTAAGTAACTTATATGACTTCTAGGGAATCTCCAATGAGCTTTGCCTTCGCTGTATTCAAGTCTGATGCTGCAATTGATGTTACTGCGTTTCAAAATTATTTCACTGTGGAAGTTATCAAATACAACAAAACCAAGAGTGAGTGCCTGTCTAAATACTTCTAGCCCAAGCTTCTGTAACTCCTGAGCAAATATCTTATTCTGTGTGAGGAAGTAATTTCAGCTACAAGAATCAGACAGAGGTACGCTCTTATGTCAAGTTGATAATTTAGGTGAACTTACTCGGTATTCAAAACTATTTCTGCCCTAATAGTAATAACTTTGGGGTTCTTGGAAATGGATTTTCTGATGCTTATCAGTACTATGAAATCAACTTAGTCAAATGAAACTCTGCAACCAGCACAGTTACATGTGAGACTGATGCTGATATCAACACTTATCTAGCAGATGTCCAGCTAGGAGTCTATGTTGTAAGTTGATTTCTTAATTTTCAGGTCAACTCATATTTCGATTTTGATGAATACGACAATGACCCTGTAAAGACTTATATCGATGACAGATTCTTTTATGATGCCTTACCTGGGCAGGTGAAGACCTCATTCCTGAATATACAGTAAGTTCCACTGCTCAGCATAGAAAAAATGAGGTTGAGACTCAGGATAACTACTTTGCTTACAAGCCAGGGGGAAGCAAGAAAGATATCTATGAGATACAGAGAGTTGATAATAGAATATCTGCAGAAAATGCTACTCCAACTAATGTCATAAGTAAGCATCGTGCATGAATTTTAGGCGTGAGATTTATTAAAGACCCATTCTCAAAGTCCTATGACCGTGGAGTCATCACAGTCCTTGAGGTCATCGGAAATGTAGGAGGACTCATGGGAATATTCGTTGTTGGAGGAGGGCTTATAGTTAACTTTTTCTCAGACAAATTATTCTTCTATTCCTTCTTTTCTAAGATGTATGAAGTTGAAGAAACTAACGAGGAAGCTAGTAGAGATTCAATCTAAGTTATAGATGATTATAAGGAATCTTCCAATAAAGTTTCAGATCATAGGCATGTAAGTATTGTTTGTTTGACTGCTTTAAAGAACGATATCAGCATGAACAATGATCCTATTACAGAAACAAGGATGAACGGATCAGAAAAAGAAGAGCTTGCTGAGAATGCAAAGCAAGCCATGATAAGAAGATCAAAGTATAACTGGAAAATAACAGATCTTTTATATAATACTATTGGTATATTTTCCTTGTGATTCCGTTGCTGCATAAATAAGAAAAATAAGATGAATATACAGCAAAGACTTAAGCTCTATGAACTTGGAGAACAAAGATACACTGAGGAGTTTGATGCGATCGAGTTTTCTAAAAATATGAGAAGGTTGGACACTCTAATGGCTTCATTGTTAAGCAAGAATGAAAGATTCCTTGTTGAGCATCAAAAATCAAGCGTACTTATATTAGATGAAATTGAAAAAGAAAACAATGAAGATCTGAATATCCCAAAGCTATTCACAAAAGACATCTCCAAAAAGTTCTATAACGCAAAAATCGCAGCCCTCATAGTAAATCCTCTCTAACCGTCTAGGATTCCATCAAGGATTACGATTGGAAAGAGCGTGACTACCACTTAATCCACGGAATCTGCTCCACCAAACCCTACACAGTAAGCTCCCTCTAACTTCTAGCCTCAATCCCCTCTCCAATTCCACCACGACTCCCTCGAGAACTGCGGTATCTCCCACAGCCATTCTCCAAACCTCAAGCTACCTAAGTCAGGCATGCCTCCTGAAGAGTAAGAGCTGAGTGATCTTTTTAGAGAAGCCAAGGTTTCAACTGAGACTATGAAGATGCCTTTTAGTGCGAAGATTAAGCAAATAGGGTTTTAGAGGAGCTCAAAGTGGTGGTAGTAAAAATATGAAATCTTTAAAGTTTTAATCAAAAGATCTGTTTTTGATTCTTTCTTAAAGCTCAATTATTCTACTATTTCATGGGGTTTTGGGGTTTTGGGGTTTTGGGGTTTTGGGGTTTTGGGG